AGCTAACATGCTAGCTAGTACTGAGCACCTGCTACCTAACTTCGGTGTAATTTTTATGATTTTTTTTCTAAATAAGAATGCTTACTAAAATGTTTCGTTTTTCAAAAAGGGCATTTGATACAGTTTCACTGTGAAGTGAGAACTTTTATAAAAGAAATGAGGGATTGAAACAGTGTGAATTGCTAGTCGTTAGTGATTATAATGCAGACAAAAGAAAAGCATATTTAGAGCAATAAACAGGCTGGAGAGGTGTGAATATGTGCAGGGGAGACTGACACTGAATGGGGCTCGTTTTTGCATCACAAAACAATAGAGGCAATAGACTGAATAGATGCTTATAAGATGACAATAAACACCAGTCTAATCAAAATAAAGTCATATGACATGATCTTGAAAAACATTGAACTAAATACAGAGTTTTAGACTTATCATCTTCAGATTTTAAATATAACATGGCCAGACATGTGGCTTTAGCTGCAGTGCATTTCTAGATTGCTACAATGCCAACTTCAATTTTATTTTCATGAAGATGTTTCATAAAAATAAATGTATAATAATTTTACAAAACTTTGAAGCTATTTATAACTATTTTTTTTCATTATGACAATAATTAATTCTACATTTACAATAAACTTCCAGGTGTCAGCTTTCAAATGAGATCTTACTTGTGCTTTTAGTACAAAGGGTTCATGAACTGTATCTGTTTCGGTTTGGGAATGCCATATCTGGGGATTTTTCAAAAATGGGGTTGCAGGTTAACAGGTTAAAGAAGTCAGAAGTGTCAGACTACACTCACTCACTGTGGAAATTACTTTCTTTTTTTCTTTTTCAAATAAAGCTTGTAAATCCTTGTGCCACAGGTCAGCATTGGGGTTATAATGGCCTATTCTACTCCAGAGCTTTACTATAAATTACTACCACTTATCATATTGTTAGAAATGGTTTGTAAATGTAGTTATACTTTTATTTATTTGGTATCTTGCACATTATTTGGTATCAAATATCCTCTTTACTTGTCATAATGTTTACTGGTAATTTTTTACCCTAGAGCTGTCCTTTTTATATGAACACTTATTGTAAGTGTTGTAATTTGCTTGTAAGGCTGTTTAACCAAAATTGAATTGGAAACCTGCATGTTAATATATTGATTTATTTATTTTTCTGTAATGTTTCAGTGATCTGAAACATCTTGTTTAAATGACAGTTACTGTACTTTGAAATGTAGAATAAAAATGCCAATTGTAAATTTGTCTGGTTTGAGCAATCATTATTCTTGATAAACTGCATGCTATAAATAAATAAAAAAAATATATATAGCCAGAATAAGCGGCGGCAGAGCGCTCGAAAATAGCGTTTGCCTCCGGCGGGCCGCGGAAGGACGGCCTTCAATATAAAGGCGGCGGAACGGCGGTTGGCCCGCGGGCCGGCCGCTTAACGAAGGCGGTAGGAAGGCGGCGCGCCGTCCAACGTGTTTGCGATGTCGCCATTCTGACGCTTCTACTGCCGCCGGAGAACCGACGGTGGTCCGCCGACTCATTGCTATCTGGGAATACATGACTAGATTGACTAGAATGAGTGGTGCTCTCCTATGCAAAACTTGATGCTACAGGTGACTTCCAGGATATTGCTATCCAGCTGCTGAGGTGTTCTGAGTGGTGATGGTCTTTAAATTTTGACTCAGTGCTTACCGACGGAACAGCTTTACGTTTCCTTGGTTGTTGGCGGCATGTGCAGTTGTCCATTGGTTAATGAGTGGTATAGATAAGCCTTTTACTAAATGAGAGGACTCACAAGGAATGATGCCAGTGCTGCAAAACATACCAGAATAAAGCTAAAAAGACTTCTTGTTGGCACAAATGCAGAATGTGTAATAATGTGTGTGTGTGTGTGTGTGTGTGTGTGTGTGTGTGTGTGTGTGTGTGTGTGTGTGTGTGTGCGTGTGTGCATACAGTTGTGCTTGTAGTTCCAGGATAATGGCCTCCAGTTCTTTCTTCTCTTGTTGACTCTGGACCTGTAGATCCTCTAATTTAGCATCTAGCCTCTTGTTCTCCGTTTCAACATTTTTCAGCTGGGACTCCCTCAAGCGCACCAATTCCTCTAAATAACCCTAAAATTACACATATTCATGGATTAGGATATGAATGCACTATTTCTATATGAATGCACTATTTCTGTTAACACAAATGAAACCTTATTGTAAAGCGTTAGCATTTATTTTTTAATCCACTGCTGACAGCTGTGTTTTGGAACATGCAGCTGTTTATTTATTTATTTTTCATTCATTTCTACAGCTAAAAACTTAATTTGAACAAGGTTAACCAAATCACCCAGTGCCTGGAACTAAAAAACTTCCAGTACCTTTTGGGCATGGACAATCTTGAATCTTTGCTCCATCTTTCTGCACTTGTTGCTCCAGGTCTCTTCGTCCGTGACCAGAGGAATGTAAGGATGCTCAGCTACACTCTCATCGCTGGCACTGCTGTCCACACTGCGGCGGTCTTCTTCATCACTCAAGTAGTCATAGCTGCAGGGCCACATCAATAGCAGTAATGACATATTAAGGGGTACTATAAGGTTTAGGCTTTGTGTTTGGTCAGCCAATAAAAAATATTAAAACCTCCTACCTCTGGGTAAACCTAAGGTAAGGTGTGTAGTCGATCACTGCAGGTGTCTTTCCATCCAAAACCTCTCCTTTCAGGCAGAAACTAATGGTAGCAAAAAAAGAAAGACAGTCAGTATTATCATATCACTCGTTGGTGCCACTGGTGGCAAAGAAATTTCACATTTAAGTAAATGTCATTTATGCAAGTTGCTTTTACCTAAAGTCAATGGCACTGAGTCCAATTAGCATACCCGTCAGAACAGTAGCCTCCTCCCTTAGCATAATGGCGCCATCATCATAAAATCTCCTGCAGTGCAAATATACATTTACAAATGCATTAAATTACTTCGAAAGGATGAAGACTGGTTTAAAACACATTGTATAGACAAGAGTTGTGACCTGGTAGTCCGAGTGTCTCTTAACGCAGTGGCTACATATTCAGACAAACGCTTCTCCATCAAAGCAACACGAATCCAGGCTCGCCCCTGTATGAAAACAAGAATATTAGTTATAGAAAAAGCTTCGCAACCTAGCTAGCCTATGTTCACACTGTCAGTTTTTGGGATTGACAATTGCATTTACTTATAGGTGTGAGTCTCGAAATGTCCCGTTCAAACAGCAACTTACAGTAGCATCTATTGAACGTGCAATGGGAGTCAAGCAGATATTCTCTTATCAGTAACCACAGCGACAGTCCATCCATTTTCCTAGCGTTATTCCCGCTCATTTGCAGGGTCCGCTTCACACACACACATTTGATTTGGCCCAGGTTTTACGCCGGATGCCCTTTCTGGCACAACTGAGAGTGCTGGGACACATTCACACTCACAATTTGAAATGTCCAATCCACTTTTGACTGTGGGGGAAACCAGAGCACCTGGAGGAAACCCACGGCAGGTGGAGAGCATGCAAACTCCACACAGAAAGAACTCCTGGCTCATCACTCAAGTAGTCAATCGAGCCGCGAGTTAATGCGTCAAACCTTCATTAACCGACAGCAGCTTTTATATCTTTGTGATGAGCGGAGCTCGCGTGTTGAACACAAAACTGTGGGCTCGAACTGGGCACCTTCTTGCTGGGAGGAGACAGTGCTACCCACTGAGCCACCCTGCCACCCTGCCACCCTAAGCACTGCGACAGTGATATCATAGTAATATCATAGATGGCAAAGTCCAATCGAGAGACCGAAAGAATGCATCAAACCTTCATTAACCGACAGCAGCTTTTATATCTGGGTGGAGAGAGGAGCATTTGAGTCACGTGTTGAACACAAAATTGTCTCCAGTGGAGAACAGTGACTGGATCTAAAACCTTCAGATGACACACTGCACATGTCTCGTCACTGTAAGTTACCGCAAGTGAAACAACATAGGATGCCGGGGCTACACCCCTGCTCTTTCGAAAGACATCCTGGGATTTTTTGTGATCACAGAGAGTCAGGGCCTCGGTTTAACGTCTCATCCGAAGGAGCTGTGAGTACGATTATATAATATGTTTGTGACTCCCGTAAATAACTGAACTGTGTGTGAACGTAATTAAAGACTTAAATACAAGACTGACAACCGATTAGCTAATCATCTCACAGGGTAAATATAGAATGCTTGAAGCTGAAAGGTTGAAAGTGTCTTGCCTTTGCTCGTGACGTGCTAATGTTCTCAATGCTCTCAATGCTACTGATGCAGTTGTTGTGGACTTTACTGCAGGCCAGGCGGATATAGTCCCAAAAACTCCTCTGGCCATCTGAACTGAACCAACCACCTGGACCTGATAAATTTTTTTAATAAAAACAAACAAAAGATTATTCATGAGTACTGACACACATTGGGCATTGACAGAAAAAGTTGTGTAAAAGTATACCTTTGAAACGGTGACTGAGGATGTGCTCCAAAATTGCTGCAAAGTTAATAAACTCCTCTGATGAGTCATCAATAGGCTCAGCAGTGTACTTTTCCAACAACGTCTTCACAGAAAACCTGAGAGAGAAAGAAAGAGTAACAGATAGAAATGCAGTAAAATTGAGTTACGCTAGATATGCAATGTAACAGATCCGATTTGGAAACTCCAAATTCATCAAAAACACAGAGCCACACAGTGATGAAACACCACGCTTCGCTAACAGTATGATCAGCATCTCACAGATACAAAAACTAGCATTGGTGCAGGCCCCACTCAATGCTGCCATTCTGACTGATGTAAAGACGGGCGGTTTCGGGAGCGGTGCCACAGCGGACTGCTGAGGTCAATCCCAATTGTCCTGTGTGCTAGACAATGCCCTTTTGATGCCATGTTCACGTTATCACTCCTGCCATCACAATTGGAGTCCTTGTGCCCTGGCCAACAGCGTTATGCTACTTGTCGGCGTGGCGACTTTTGTCCTTTCGCCTGGGTTCCATTCAAACCTCTGCGGCTTTTTTTTTTTAAAGGAACACTATAGTGAGCGAATCTCCCTCGTATCCTAACACACTCATTTTCTCCACCCACCCACTTGCTGAAATGGTGGTGTGATCTATTTAGGGCTGTCCCGATACTGTGTACAGTTTTCTTCTAGCACAGTCAAACCTGCAAGGCGCTGGTATGCTAAGACTCTAGCCCACTCAAAGGGAAGAGGAAACAGAGAGAGAACTGAGAGTTCGAAGACCTGATGACCTACATGCCTTCATGGGGAACACCAGTATTACAGAAGGGAAGACTGCCCTGTCTGTAGGCGGCTCTTCAATAGCCCGGGGCAAGACTTCCATCACCATGGGCAAGTCCAACATCACCCGTGGGGTCACCACTACCTCTATGGGAGACTCTACCATAACCAGAGGCAAGACCACCATATCCCTGGGCACAGCCAGCTTCAGCCGAGGCAAAACTACAACCTCCTTCCGCAAGGCCCTCATGCCCAAGCGCCGGACCAAGTAGATGGAAAGGAGATCCGCAAACGCTGAAACAAAGACAAAGACTTCAACAGCAAGAAAGAGCACTGAGAAGGACAAAACAACAGATATACAACAAGAGGACAACTCAAAAGCCTCAAAAGGAAAGGCTTTTCTTTTATTGAGAAAGACCTGCTTTACAAAAGGGAAAATCAAACTGATGAAAAGCAAGAAGGCCATGTCATGGGGGAAGACAGTTCTTTCGAGGAGCAAGACCAAACTGAGGAAGGGAGAGACTGCGTTTGTGGTGGGTACAACTACAATCACTCATGGAGAGACTACTAGTTCTTTGAGCAAGGCCACTTTAAGTCAAGGGGAGAAGTCTGTCACTGTAGTTAAGACTTCCCTCAAAAGAGGCAAGGAAACGCAATGGAATCTCTACTGGGATTTTCATCTGTGACATAAAGACACAAATATAACTGCAAACAGATTATGTACAGTATATGTGTATGTTACCACAAAGACTGACTTTAAAGTAGAGCGTTCAAGCAGGTTGGATGTCTTGTGAGATGCAAGTGTTTGCCAGCTTGCTCTAGAATTGCACACAAATGCATTCTAGAGGCAAAATGAAGTGCAAGTGTACCTTAAATTAGCTTGGAACTGAGCGTGACGTCTTTGTCCCTGAAAGAGAATAGAGATGATTTTAAAATGAAGATTTGTCTGAGAAAACATGTTCAGAGATCAGGCGCAAATCTGGTTTCCATGAAGAGAACATGCATGCATGCATGCATGTGTGAGGGTGTGCACTTCCACAACTGGAATGGCTTTTATTGTTGTTCACATGCAGAAGGGTCTAAGTTGGATAAGTCAGGAATCCAGATCTGAGATTGTTTTGCAAGTGGAATTGTATCAGTTAATTGGTACTAACCAAGTCATAGTAAAAAGTTTTAACTTCAACCATAGCCTTACAAATAAAATGTGCATTGTTAATTCTTCGACTTCGTAATCGTACATTAATGTAGCATAAATCAACATTATTATAATGGATTAAATCAGAATTGTCAATAAATAGACCTTTAAAATGGTTAAAACATTGTTTTAATGTGTCTGTCTTTAAAATACTACAGAGGGTTTATTTTAATTTACCTTAAGTTAGGCACACACTGTTGCTTGTCAGACTATACAATGTGATTACAATCATATCTTAGGTAAAATCCACCTTTCTTTTGTCAGACTGTACAGTTGTATTCAAGACTTTGGTTTCACTCATCCCATTGACAGCTAGAAGTAAGATTTATTTAAAAAAAAAGAGGCCAAAAATACAGTGTGAACCTGGCTTTACCTTTTAGCAAGCATAGGCTATATATGAAACAATGCTTCGGTAATAACTAATTTGAATGCACATTTATGGGGTCTGATTTAACAAAATCATTAAAGTAGACCACACCCTTGAGTCTCAAAGTCTTGGGCTCAGTCAATACGATACCTTTTTCAGAAACCATGTACAGTATAAGTCAAGACATTTCTATCAGTTCTAGGGAGGCACAATGCCACAGAACTGAGTGATGTCACCCCCGATTGTGTCGCCCAACAATGTGTTCTTCAGTGCCTCGCTTTAGCGACGGTACAATGTGGTCTACTGTCCCCTCTGCCCCCATATAGAACTAAGGCCTCCTACGGCAGCCTCTGTCCATTCACGGCACACAGGGGAGGTATGTGGCCTTGCGAAGCCCACGGTATGCTGCTCAACAAGTGCTTTATGCTGCTGCATGGGGGTTGCTCTCACCACGCTTAGCATTCTTGTCCCATCCCGACACTAGCTGTTTGGACTGTCACACCCAGCCAGGCACTGTCTGTGTGAGTTGGGATGCGTTGCTGCCAGGACACGCGATGAGCCATCGTAACCTCATCCTGTAGAACCAGGAGAGCACAAGATTACCAAGGGAAAGTAGAGAAAATTTAACCGTGAACGTGCTCCAGGTAAGATCGTCTAAGCTGGCTGCAGGAGGAGACTTCCTGGAGCTTCTCCACCACCACCTTCGGTTCCACCATGGGTAATACCAGTATCACAGAGGGCAAGACGGCCCTCAACCTGGGGAGCACATCAATCAAGAGAGAGAAGACCAAGATGTTGATGGGAAACTCTTCTATCTCCCGCGGGAAGAGCACAACATCCCTGGGCTCCTCCACCATCACCAGTGGCAAGACAAAGATCTCCATGGGTGGCGCCTCATTCAGCCGAGGCACCAAATCTACATCCTTCCGAAAAGCTTTCATGCCCAAGAGGAAAACTCTTTAATGGCGAGTAAGTCAAAATCTATGGGGAGGGTGCAGGGTGCTGGGAGTGGTATGGGGGGACAGTTTCACCAAGCTGGAAACAAAGAAAACATAAGCAAATATCACCAACAGCTGAGGAAACATCATCATCACAGCGTACCTTCTGTGGAGATAATTTATTGCATCTTGCAAAAAAAAATTGCCATTAAAAAAAAAAAAATCCCTTTTGGATTTTGGATCAGGTCTCTTTTTTGTTTTAATTTCTCTGGAATACATCCCAGATACAGGTTAGTAACTAATGAATCCAGCTCCAAAGGATAATGGTTATGCCATGGACTATTATTTGCAGCAATAATAGATTTATTTATTTAACACAGCAATTTCGTAAATTATGATAACTAATAGCTCTCATTATGTAATATTGATATTTCAAGGTTTTACAAAGATCACTGATCTTGCCAGCATGGATTTCAGTTTAGTCACATGTAGTTGTTTGATCTTCGCTGTTTCATTGCTTCATTATTTGACCTGAGCAAAATTTGTCCCTCTGTAATGACAGCTCAGTTAGATTTGAATGCCCTAAACATCATAAACATTCTTAAGTCTAGATTTTCTCCTTGGCTCTATGGCTCACCCAAGAGGTGTTCCACAGAGGTGGTCCACAAGGGCAGGTAAAATCCCACACTCCGAGAACAATGCTAATCATTGCAGTAAGACAACTCCCAACACCAGCCAACCAAATAATTGGATTGCACACTATGCCTGGTCAAGATGTGCAGATCTCTAAAGGTTCTCAGGGTGAGGGCTAAAGGGTGAGGGCTGAAATGCTAATAGAGAAATGTGGCAGCAAGACTGTCTTGGTACGATTTGACACTGAAAAACAAACGTGCAGCCACTTAACAAATGGCTTTTGTGTTCTTGGTCTCGCCCACTTTGGTAACAGGCCAAAAACCAGACCCTTTTAAGAAATATTACTTCATAGCACTCACTCTTAAGATTTTTGTTAGTTTTTTCAAGGTGCATTTGACTACACACGGAATTACCTCTAAATTACCTCTAAGTTTCTCAGGGTTCTGGATTGTTCTCAGCTTTTAAAGCTTACAGGCCACTGATAATAAGGTTAGATTTGCTTTGTACCTCCTACTTTCTTGTTATGCTTTGGTCCCTCTCTCTCCAATACCCTTTCTATCAATCATCCCTATTTCCATGTTCTGGCCCTCCTCTCCCAAGCTTGCTTCCTAGAACTGGAGGATAGGATAGTTAAATGGGTTAGGTATGTGTAGACTGAGAAGCTAAGTAAGTGATAACGATTGATTGTGTAATTGTGCATTCAGCCTAATTGCTCTGAGTTAGAAGTTTAAGTTTATCATGAAAGAACCAGTCAGAGGTCGCTGAGCTGGTGCCAAGACATGTTGGTAACAAATGTGATTTTGACATGTTCCTAAGAAATCAGATGGTCAGGGAACTGCATTTCAAGGATGAAGATTGAACTGAAAATATGCCAATTGATACCCAATTCCCTCCCTTTTAAAAACATCTCTGCATAATATTGATCTCCAAAACCTTTAAGGGAAATTTTAAAAAACATTTAAGTAGAAAATTAACACCATCAACAACCTCCAAAACATTATCAAGAGAACTATGTCCCATACGATACATTCTAAGTCCCATAAGACATAATCCAGTGGCTTCTTGTATATCATTCAGATGACAAGTCATACACAAAACTAAAGCTGTTGATTGTACTGTACAAAGACTGACACTGAATTCAAATGCTCATCCTTGCAGAGTTCTTGAATCATCGGAGTCCACAGATTTACATTACTAGCTTCAGCTGTCTGGGAAACTTTTTCAAGGAGAAAAGCAAAACGGGCCATTCCATTTTATTGGAAAGTCAAGACATGGGGACATCAACAAGAGCCATTCTTTGACCGCTGGAACTCTTACCTTTCGACTTTGACCTGGGAGGCAGTCATCATGCCTTATTTTACACTTCATAAACTTCATAAAACCCTCACAATGGTTACTGCCATACACTGTTACAAATCTTATGGTCTGAAGTACTGAGCTATTGCCTTGTATATGACAACAATGTTTGGAATGAACTTTTATTCAAAACAACTTACAGTGCATTCAATGTATTTCATTAGTAAAAAACAACCAACAAACATGTAAACGTATCATGAGTGCCCTTATAATGAAACCTTTATTTAGCCCCTCTGAAACTGACATTTGTTTAGTGTGAGTGTAAAAACTGAAAAAGTAGAAAACTGAAACTGTGTTACTGTCTATAGTTATGTCAGTGATCCAGACTGTATCTGTGTAACCATTGTAAAATAGGCAAAAGAAATGCAACATCACTAATGCTTTTGATCTTAGTGCAGAAGGAGCTCAGCTTTGAGATAAGTGGGTGGGTTATGGGGACTTAAACTAATCATGTGTCTGTTGGTCAAAACTCTTCTCCACAATGTCAACAGCTCTCAGTTTCAGCAAAGATGCTTCAGATTAATATATTGGTTAGAATTGCCCCTGATTTCCAGCTTAGATCATTTACCATGAAGACTAATGATTTAGGGGCCAAAAGCAAACATTTCCCTGACCGTTGAGAATTTCAACCTGGTATAAGGTTAGCTAAAGACTAAGCAACAAATTTCATAAATGGGCATTGCATTGTCGGACTGAGAGACACGACAATGGGGGTAAGGGTTTGATGATTGAGAGTGAAGGAAATTAAATGTCTCCTGATCTCAATGTACCAGAGAAATACAACACTCATGATAGAGACACGGGAGGTTTTAGCTACTCTGAACTACGTGTCCCTAAGAGCATCAAGTAATCTGAGCTAATCACGATTCAATTTAATTAAGCACTGTTTGAGATTTTTTTGCTAGCAGCCATTAATTAAGATTCAAAAATCTTTTTTCTTTTTCTTGTCAAGTTCTTCGTCCTGTGTGTCTATTTGTTCAATGTTACAAACAACTCTGGAGTAGCCATACGAGGGATGTGGGTAGCAGAGAAAGGCCTCTGCCCTTTTCAACAAAAGCGTCTTTGTGTTTATAATAATTTGTGAAGTCTGAAGTCCATTTTTGTAATTCTTTCTTGTTCGTTTTTTTTTACCATGCATTAGCATAGCATGTGTTTCATGTGTTTAACAGTTCCTACATTATGCCATCCAGATGGTAGAACCTTGGAAAGTTTGGTTCTAACCACAGTGCTGTATGCTTAATAAATATGAGCTGACATTAATGAAGATTGTTTTTCTTGTAGATCTATTTTAGATTTAGGGCTAGAACCCATATTCCTATTGTCTGCAGGCAAACAGATGGAGATGATGATGTCACAACAGCTTGCCACATCACAATCATCTCTTTGACTGCATTTACATTATGACAACACAATCGTGCTGCTGTCCCAACAGGAGTGACAGTGTTCTGTGTCCATTCAGCAACTGTACATGGCCTATGCCTGGGGCGCCCCCAAACATGAATTATTCAACATCCACTTAATGTGCTGTACTAAGCGACCGGTAAAGTGCAGCTCTGGTGCAGTCCCACACAGCCCTGCAGAACAGAATGCAGTGGTGGAATTCTATGTGCCTCATAAGCTTCGGTCATGACTCACCAATGCATGTTGCACAGTGTGCTGGGACAAAATGTGCACATATAGGGCTGAGCCTCTCCAATCTATGGATGCAATGACTTATGTGCCATTAAGTCAAGACCTTTATGATGTGAATCTCCCGATGAGGGCTAAAACAGAATAACTTTGAATACCTGATTTGATAAAACATCTGTAAATGACTACTAATAACTGAGGTTCAGACAGCAATATTCATTTAGTAAACTGGCTTATTCACTGGCATGATGAAGGGATGATGCAATCAAAAAAAGTTGACATTACATTAATTCTAGTGAGATTTGGTGATCAATCAGATAATAGAGAAAAATGTATGTATATACTATTTGAAAAGTGCAAATTGCAACTCAATGTGAGGTGCATTTGACACATTCATAAACAGTAAATGTAAGGAGATCAATTTAATATCTATTTCGCTAACAGTAACACCATCATGGCCTAAGTTACATCAGCAGAAAGTTGTTTCAGATAGAGAGATACAGTTATTCTATTTTGAGATGAACAACATTCTATGCACCAATTGTTCACAAAAAGACCAGGAACATGCATTAAGAAATTAAATAAGATCAATTTTGATTTCATGTTGACACTGATAGAACTATAAATAGTATAATTTACTGCTCATTTTAATTTGTGATTTTATTTATTTTTGTAGCCCTTATTTAAGAAACCCTATCAACAATACAACCAAATGTGAAACGTCTTTGTGAAAGGCTCTGTGAGGGTGAAGGTCAGGTGTGGTTTAAGCATGTCGCGTCCACGGCATGAAAATCGTCGGATGGATGTAATGACGTCATGGATGCTGGAATTAAATAAGGGGCCAACGTCCTTAAGGGCCTCATCTTCAAGAATGTAAATCAGAAAAGATGTAATATCATATGACGTATGTTCCAGTTAATAAAATATAATAATAATAAAGGCTACTAGGTAACTTGAGATGAAATGAAAACACGATTGGTGTCGTGAAGAGCAATTCGATGTGTCATGCAATAAACTAGCTACCTGCAGACGGTGATGAGATTCTTGCGCTCCACGCCGACGTTTCTAGAAGACGATTTTTTCGACGTTAGACCCATAGCCATTGCGGTCTGGAGACAGCCTGACTTCATGAATCGGCGGAGGCTGCATCGAGCCTCAGTTTCCCGGCTGCGCGGCTCAAACCCCTCCCTTCTCCAATAGTATCCAGCTGCAGACCCGCAGCACCACCAGTTTCAGAACCCCAGCGCCAGAACCGGAAGAAAGGGGCGGAGCTTACGTTCTAACACCAGCGCCAGGACCGGAAGTGAGGGGCGGAGCTTACGTTCTAAACCGAGTAACGCCACCTAACGCTTTGGAGCGTAATTTGCTTAGACACGAAACGGCATTATTACTATTATGATGATACATTAAGGTATAGTACAATAAGCATTTTAAAACATTGATTTTGTGTAATATAATTCTATATAGTTAGCCTATCCGTTTCATTGTATTATGAGAGTTACTTCCTGATCATGATGGTGAAAAATAATGCTTGAAACTTATGGTCATTTTATATAAAATATACTTTATTTCACAAGAACATGTGCAGCATGCATTTTTCTTTATGTAAAATAATGTCAAAAATCTAAAAAGAGAGAGAAAATCCGGCATTGTTTTAAAAGAAACCATAAAAATGTACCGTAGCCTACTTCAAATAATAGCCGAGTCCCAAATAGACGATTGTCTCTTTTACACGCCTGGTGTGGCTGCAGGTCTGGGTAAATATAAGTCCGGTCTCAAATAGAGGTCGGGTCTGTTTTTTAGTTTCAGGTTGTATTAAATCTTCTAAAACCCGTCAGATCGTCCGCTTTTTGGCGGCCGCCAAAGCAAATTTTTGTCCCGCCAAAGCCTATTTTGATCGGTGAGTGATGTAGAATAGAATGACTGCTGCGCATGACAGGGCAGAGCAGAGAGAGAGAGAGCCCTGGCCGCGCGCGCGCACTCTCACGTCTTCAAACAACACTTGCTCTTATTTGTCACATACCAGTTATAGTTCATACAACGAGCAGTGACTCACTGTGTAATAAAAACATACCCTAAATATTATTTAAAAGGTGCAACAATTTTAAATATTTTTAAATACTTGCAAAAATAACCATGCTTGTTTATTGTAAATAATTCCGCCCCTCCCTCACTTCCGGTTCTGGCGCTGGGGTTCTGGCACTGGGGTTCTGAAACTGGTGGTGCTGCGGGTCTGCAGCTGGATATATCTCCCCTTCTTCCGCCGAGCTGCTGCTGCTGGATGGAGGTATGCCCACTCCAGGGCTGGGGGACGACAGGGCTACAAAAATACAACATCTTGCACTTTTAAACTTTCATTTTTTTTCCTAAATAAAGGGGGAAATAAATTAGAAATATTGAAAATATATAAATGTTAGCTAAGAGATTGTGTAAATATTTATAAGATATGGAAGCCTGTGATTAATTATTGTGCAGCATGAATGAAAAGAGGGTCAGTGGGTCAATTAGGAATTCATAGAATATCTGAACGTAGTATATAATTTTCAATGGCTGATAATATGCTAAAAAATAACTTCGGTCCCTGTCAGGAATGTGGAGAGCAAAAGACATCAGACAACTTCCTATAGAATATATTGTGCAACTTTCAAACTAATCACATAAACAAATCATACTATTAATAATACAAAGTACAAACCCATTTCCAGAAAAGTTGGGACATTTGGTAAAATGCTTTAAAATCAAGAATTTGTGATTTGTTAATTCTGTTTAACCTTTATTTAACTGACAAAAGTACAAAGAAAAGATTTTTAGTGGTTTTACTGACCAAATTAGGCTAATTGTATTTTAATTGTAAATATAAACTAATTTTGATGGCTGCAACACACTCCAAAAAGTTGGGACAGAGGGACGTTTACAACTGTGTCACATCACCTTTCCTTTTAATTACGCTTTTTAATAATTTGGGAATTACTAATTGTAATTACTAGCCTAATTGGGGATACTAATTGCTTGTTGTTGTTGTTTTTAAGTTTTACGAGTGGATTTTTTGCCCAATCTCGCCTGATGACATAGCCTATGCTCAACAGTCCATGTCGTCGTCATCTGATTCTCCTTGATGGGCCATAGATTTTCAATAAGAGACAGATCTGGGGTCTCATTAATAAAACTTTGCAGGATCCTTACTAAAAGTGTACGTGCGCCCGAAAAAAATACGACAAATTTATTCAGGCCTACGCCAAAAAATATTCAGACTTATAAAACTGTGCGTGTACGCCAGAACCTGCGCAAAATTCCCTTTATAAATCCCAGTCAGCGGAAGATTGTGCACACATGCGTCTCCTCCCCGAAATAACCATATATGGAGCTTACAACGCCTAGTTTTACTATGCATATCCTCATCTGCATATCATTTGCATATGCATATTCATCCACGTGATACCATATTTAACGGTGAGATACGAATGTGCCGTCACATTACATTGCTAAAAAATCATTTAGTAGCCTATCCTTGCCTTGTTTTTGAATAATGGTTGCTAGGATATTCTGGGTGGTTGCTAGGCTCTTGCTATGCAGTTGTTGGGGTGTTCCTAGAGTATGTGATTGATGGGTTGTTTGTTCTGGGTGACCACACACATTCCCACCTCTGTTAATAACAGAAACTCAAACACTGTTTTCAAAACTGATCCAGTCTCAGTGCTTTGATATTATTGTATTTCTTTCTAATGTTAAAAAATGTAAAAAGAAAAAAAAAATGTGTTGCTCTTTAACTTGCACCAAAACATGTTACTTATACCATCCAAGCAGCCTATGTAATATTAATAAAACAGCTCGTCTTCTTTAGTGATACAAGCTCAGAAACATTTCAAATCTGTTGATGTTTTTCATATAGACTATTATTGCCATTATGGATATTGAAATTTTGTTATTTATTTTAAACTATATAGATGATTACTTTGTGGTAATGCAATATTTGTGAACACAATTGTATGTCAGGCCATAAATCTCCAAAAACTATGCATAGGCGCTTGCTTTGGTGTTGCCACCCCTCATAGAACTCATGAGAAACTTTGCACCCTATAAATAATTTTCTAGATCCACCCCTGGAAGGGACATATAAAAAAATCACTTGCAAAATCACTTGTTGGTTGTACATTCCATTACCTCTCATGACAATCATCATCATCTCCCATGCCTTAAGGGAATTTTTTCCAAGAAACGTCCATGTTTGTCCTAAAACTAGATAACCGACAAATGCGCAAGCAGTCAATATCTATTTATTTCAGTAAATTATATGAAAATGTAACTCAGATAGAAACAGAAATAGTAATAATAACAATAAAAGTACTCATTTTACACAACATTGATGGAGTAAATCAGTATATATATTTTAAAAAACCCAGAAGATTTAAATAATTTTCTTTATATATTGTTGTACTGTTTGCAGCTGTTATCTTTCATACATCCTCTTTTCCCCTAATAAACTCACTAGCAAAACATTCATATTTGAAACACAATATAAGTATGTTCTTTATGGTTAAAGGGATAGTTCACCCAAAAATGAATGCTTCAGAAGGCCTTTATTAACCCCCCGGAGCCGTGTGAAACACTTTTATCATGGATGGATGCACTTT